GAGTCTGCACATGAGTGATCCCGAGCATGAGAAACCTGAGTATCAGGAATCTAAGAGCGAGTGCATCTGAGTATGAGTGAGTCTGAACATGAGTGAGTCTACAACTGAGTCAGAGAATGATGACCTGAGGGTGGGAGGTGTTCTCTCGTTTTTCGCGCGGTCAAAATAATGATGACACAGATGGGGGCAAGAAGCGCTCAGACGCCTCGAGACAGATCATCGGTCCTTCTCCGTGGATGGAGTGCCTCGAGGCAGACCCTCGACCCTAGAGGCAAAAAACGCTCAAACACCTCGAAGCAAACCATCGGTCCTCTTCCGTGGATGGAATGCCTCGAGGCCTCCCGACACACACAGGGACAAAAAGCGCTTAGATACCTGGAGGCAGACCATTGATCCTCCTCCGGGGATGGAGTGCACGGATCTCGATCCTCGTATCTCGATGTCCCCCCTCGACGGAGATGCTCCTCGATCCCTGATCGGTTGACTCGGCGTGCGAAAAGCACCAAAGCATGTGGCACATATGGTTCGTGTGTTCGGTCGACCAATTACCCCCCCTCCTCTCTCTCTCTCTCTGTATCTGCATACACATACAGGTAGATATCTGGAATCGTGGTCTCCCCCTTCTGTGCTGTGTATATGTCTTTTCCCCACTGTCTTGATGTTGTCGAGGAGCTTGTCCCGCGCGAGCACCTCGCCCCGACCGCCGAGGCTCAGCCCGCCGAGTGCCAGGGTCAGCTCCTCCTCGAGGGCGGCGGCGAACACCCTGACGGTGGAAAGAGGACCACACGCACCGATATGATGAATCATGGGAGCCTTGGGGAGGTCCCGCCCGGGCGAGCTGAGGGGAGGGTATGCTGGCGAGGGCGTGAGAGAGAGCACCGGCAGGTACGGCAGGTTCGTTTCGTGACGACTTCGGCGACAGTCTCTGGCAACTCGTGGATCGTTCGACCTTCAGCGATTGCGGCTCTCCCATAGCACGGCTCTGTCGATGACGGCCTGCTCGAAGCCACCCGCGGCGTGCAACCTAGAACGCCCGCGCTGGGGACGCACGCCGCGTGAACACGACACGATTCTGCCCTATCTTGATCCAGGGCACGTAGGGCAACACAGAGGGGCGCGAACGCCGAGCCCGGGCCCAGGATGGGTCTGGCCAGGGTCGGTGCACCTATGCGCACAATTCCTGGACACCAGGCGCTGTGCTGTTCAATCCGCAGTCCCTGCTCCCCCGAGCCCTCGTCCCGAAGGGCATTTTTCTTTCTGAAGAAAGCTCCAGGACACTGCAAAAAACAATCCGTCCGAAGTCTGGGATTCTCGCCGCCCGGCCTGACGTCTGCGGCGCTCAGCGCGTCCCGGCCCGCCTCTTGGAACGCTCGGAATGGAGACGGAACAAACAGGGACGAGGTCAAGCAAATGTTGTCCAACGCCAACGTCGGCCGCAATTTGGAGTGCGACTTTTTGTCCCAAACGGACACCGTCCGCTGCGACAGCGACAACGAGTCCTCTTCAACATGGGCAAACACTACTGTTGGTCCTCGTCGCCAGGGATCCGGCGCATTGCTTTTTACATGCGCCCCCGCCCCTGGGCACATGAACGGACCCCGGAGGCCGAACACTGGAAGAAGCCGCCGCCCAAGACATTGGCTGTCGGATGGCTGGGTCTGGAGGTCAGACAGGAGTCGACCCGTCGACCCCTCCTGGCACGCACACAAACGGTCGGAAGTCGGCGCGAAATTTTTGGATCGGCGCTGAGCCCCCCTGGCGGCGCCTCCAACGCTACACCTGGCGCGTTCCGCGCGCCAGGTGTACTCGTGGAGGGCGCTCGACGCAGATCCAGGAAATCCGCGCGGAACTTCCACATTTGATATGCTTACTCCGAGGTTCTGAATCCGCGTCGGGGGGGCGTCTCCCCCGCAAACAGCCCCACATCGACCCCCGTCGCGGGCAGCCACCGCGCGAAGAAGGCACCCCGACCCCCGTCGCAGCGCGACGAGAAGACGATGTTGACCCCCGTCGGGGGGGCACACCCCCACCCTTACCTAGAAACCCAGAGTATGTACCTCCTCGTCTCCGATCCCAAGAAATCCAGACATGACGAAAACGTTCAAGAACTCGCGGAACTCGCGGGCGAGCAACATGTCCGCATCCGCGGCCCTGCGGGTCGAGCCCCCGGGACCGCGACCCCGCGGACGCGGGGCGCTTTATCGGGGGAGGATTGCCCCGCGCGGGGACGTCTCCGTGCGGCCATGCGGCCGCACATCCGCGGGATCGCGCCTCGGAAGCCCGGCCGCGAGCGCGCGGATGCGGCTGTGCTCGCCGCTCGTGAAAGGGCCTCGAACCTCGAGGCTCCCGTCCGTGCGGGGCGGGGGTCTGTCAAGGAATAATCATCCACTGCCTGTGGAACCGACGTCGGGCCCCAGGGGGCGGTGGCTACTCTGGGTTTCTTACCATGCGTGGGGGACTACCACCCCCGACAGGGGATCAGTCTCGCCTCGTCGTCGCGCAGCGACGGGGGTCGGAGCGCCTTCGGCGCGATTTGTGGCTGCCCGCCAGAGGGGGTCGATGTGGTGCTGCTGGCGGGGGAGACGCCCCCCCCGACGCGGATCCAGAACCTCGGAGTCTGGATGCATTTGGGGCCCATGGTGGGCTTGCTTTCCACCACCACCCTAATTAAGTAGGAGGGGGAAAGGGTGTCCTCCTCCTCTTCTTCTCCCTCCGCCTTCTCCTCCACCTCCTTCCCCCCTCCAACTTATGGTGGTGGGGGGTGGTGGTGGAACACAGGCCCATCAGCCCAATCGTCCCCGTCTCGATCTGCGCCGAGCCTCGGCCTCCCAGCGCATGGCGGCCAGGCCCACCGTCAGGTGCGAGGGCGTGCTCGGCGGGTCCCGGCAGCCGTGCACGTCGACGTGCAGCGCGGGCCGCGGGGCGCGCGGCGCGCCTCAAGTCGGGCGAAAGGGGGGGATAGCAAAGGGGGGGGGGTGAGAATCAGCTCGCGTAGCTGATTTCCCCGGCGCCTCCCGGCGCGGGAGGCGGCGATGTATCGAGGACTGGGCCCCTCGGTGCGGCCGGAACCAGCTGCATGCAGCAAATTTCGCAACCCCCCTCTCCCAATTCCCCCCTTCCGTCTGGCCCGAGCGCCCTCCCGGAAACCCTCGGCGATGGCGCGCATGTGCCTGAACCACGGGTTGTCGAGCACCTTTGATGAGTATCGCTTAACCGATCCCCATCCCCAGCGGCGTGGCCTGGGCCCCACTGGCCGATTTACCCCCCTGGATGGGGATATAGGCCGTTCCCTTCGGGCTTCGAGGGGTGTATCCCCAACTGGGGTGGTTATTTGGTATTTGAAGATGGGCCCACGCGCATGCGCAGTCGCGCTCTCCTCAGGGCACGCACGGTCCCTGCCTCCTCGGGCCGGTGCGCGGAGGTCGCCACCCCTCTCTGTGCGCACGCGTGCTGCAGACACACGAGTCACTACACAGGAATACACGCTTTACCTCGTAGCGCGGCAGAGGCTATCAGTGCGCGCGCGCTCAAGCGGGCCAGGAAGCGGCAGACGCTAGAAGGGGGAGAGAAAGGCGAAAGCAGCCGTGGAGGAAGGAAAAGGGGGGAGGACATTCACGAGGCAAGGTGCGCCGTCTTGGAGCGGCCGTTGCGGCCAGCCAGTGCTGCGTCACCTTGGCAATGGGCGCGGGGCGGCATCACGGCCGCGCCCAGGGTCTGAAGCAGAAACTGCAATACGCGAAATGCAGGAATAACAATACGGGCGGAGGGCGCGTAGGGCCACGTCGAAAAAAATGTCCCAGTCCAGCGCGATGCTGATCACGCAAATAACTGCATAGGGCGGTGACGGGCCGCCATATGCCCAAGAGCCGGCGGGCGACCGCGAACGTGGCAAAATGCAGCAGGGGTGGTCGAAAGGCTGGGGATGGGGGGCAGCGGGCTGAGCTGTCCACTGATAATACTGATGGCCGCGCTGCAGGGGAACTAATCCAGCCACCAGCGTGGCAGACAGTGCCTGCGCGCGCCACCAGGTCCTCCCGTCGGAGGGGCATCTCCGGGCGTGAGGAGACCTGCTCTGGGCTGACTGGCAGGCTTCTTCGATCTCCAGGTGGGAAGCAAGGCCGCCAGGTCGGGTTTGCGACTGATCGTCGCACTCAAGGGTGTAGCGAAGATCGCCGGCGCTGCCCTTCCCCCCCGGGTGACCTGGGGGAGCCACGGGAGGCGACCTCAAGCTGGGATCAGGGAGTCCTGGCGGGCAATCGCTTCCAGGTCCTGGTGGGGCCGGGCCCGCAGCAGCGAGGTCAGGCTCGCGACTATGGTTTCCCATATTTCCAGTCTTTTCTAGATGTTAGTCTTCCCTCCACTTCCTGTGTGTTTCGTATGTTCCTGGGAATCGAAGATGATTAGTGTCTGTGTTTTTTTCTCTCCTGACTCTTGTGAAGGGCGGCGGTCACTGCACATCTCGCCATCGCTCGGACGTCCACTCCCCGTGCACGTTTCGGTTTCGTGCGCTGCTCATTCGCAAAGTATGACCCAAGCTGCTCCTCGATGGTCCTGGCCGGGAAACTGCACACGTCCGACCTCGCGTGGCGGAACAATCACTCACGGCGGACAGTGTTCGCTCCCTTTTGGCTCCTGGGGGGCCCTCGCTGGGCCTCGGAGCCGTCGAGACAACTGTGCGTTGGTAGTCCCCAGACGTGGTGGTGACAACACCTGGCGGCGAGTCTCGGGCGATTTGGTGTCGCCACCCGGTTTGGGGACTCGTGCGGTTCTCCGAGGACGTCCCGGACACCGGTGGGTCCAGGAGTCACAAAACCCGGTGGTGACCCCGCGTCCCCAAACCCACTACCATAAGTAGGACAGGGAGGAGGAGGAGGAGGAGGAGGAGGAGGAGGAGGAGGAGGAGGAGGAGGAGGAGGAGGAGGAGGAGGAGGAGGAGGAGCAGCGGTGACGTTTTTGGGGATTCCAGGTCGCCACCTGGTATCTCACCACCCGGTTTGGGGGTTCCCAAGGCAACAGCGGGAGGGAGAGCCTGCCCCGGGAAGGACGCCGAGGCCTCCTTTTGAGTCCAGAGCTCTCAGGGCTGTCGAGGGCCCTTTTTTGCAGGGGGGTGCGCCAGCTGCACACCTATACCCTGAGGGGCAACGTTAGGCGGGGGGGGGGGGGGCAGCTCGAGGGGGGGAACATTGAGCTTCTTTCCCCGGGGATGGAAAGACCCCCCTTTAGTAAGACAACATCGTGGTTTCGTGACATCGAGGGATGGAACATTGAGCTTCTTTCATCGTGGTTTCGTGCCAACGACCTGAGGCCCAAGCCTGGCGGGCGCAGGCCTGGAAAAGAACGGCCACGGCGCCCTCTCGAGAACCGGAAACGGACAATTCACTAATCGACGTGTCACTTTTGGGGGTTCTGTCCACCGCCGATGTCAACGATGCATGTCGATAGATCGGCGATCGGCCCCCCTATAGCGTGTCCGCACGGTCGTGGGCGGGCTGGGCTGTCAGGGCCACGTCCGCGATCCGTGGGCGATTCGGGGTCGATGCGCCCCCCCCCCCCCCCCCTGAGCCCATCCATCGGCTAACGTTGCACCCGATACCCTCGGATTCGGGCGACGCAAGAATTGTTGCATTTGGTTTCGCGTCTTTCGGCTTCCCCCCTGAGCCTATCCATCGCTAACGTTGCACCCGATACCCTCGGATTCAGGCGACGCAAGAAATTGCTGCATTTGGTTTCGCGTCTTTCGGCTTCTGGGAGCCGCTTCCCAGACCCTAAAACAGGGCTATGATCGGGAACAAATCGCTCCAGAGCGTTCCGGAGCGCTCTCAGAGCGTTCCGGAACGCTCTGGAGCGGCCGCGGCGCCCAATACATCCTCCAAACCCGCCGATTCTCAGAGATTTCGAGTCATCCCGATCCGATTTTGTCCCGATCTTCGCGTCGTTTTGCCGATACCCTCGGATTCAGGCGACGCAAGACATTGCTGCATTTGGTTTCGCGTCTTTCGGTTTCTGGGAGCCGCTTCCCGCCAGACCCGGGACCCGCAACAAAGCAGATGAGGAGGAACGTCCGGCCCCGGGACGAGGGGGCGAGCCCCCCCCGGGGGTGCCGAGCGCCGTGCAGACGGGCACAGACTGCATCGGTGCCGCCGCAGGGATGCTTGACACATGGTCCCCAGACTATTTTTGTTGACCACAGTCGGGGGCTTGACCTAAGGAACCCCCAAATGAGGAGCGAGGCCCCTTTTTTCCATGAGTGAAACTTCGATTTCCGATCGAAGACATAAGGAAAACCTGAGGCAAGCTGCGACACACTTGAGGAACGCGGAGCCCCTCCCCAACGAAAAGGGTTCCTTCTTCAGGGCCCCGACTGTATGTTGAAACCTTCCTCCTGTAGAGGGATATGCCCGACCTGACGCTGGTGGGGCGACCCCTTCAGTGTGCTGCTGCTGCTGAAGAGGAGCCAGGCTTCTGTGCGAAGAGCGGAGAGGTAGCAGGCGCAGTTTGAATCGAGAAAGAACGAGCATATAAACATAAACTTTCGACGGTCCGCGCGGATTTCTGGGATTTTCGCTGGGCCCTCCTCCCTGGCGCGCGGAGCGCGCCAGGGGCGGCGCCGGATGCGCCGCCAAGGGGGCCCAGCGCGGATCCAAGAAATCTGCGCGGAGCGCCCACAGTTTGTGGTTGTGTCGTTCTTACTTCTTCTAGACGCGTGTGCACTGGCACTCCTGGGAGGAAGGACCCAGCTGCATCGACCAGTAACTCTCGGCGGTCCGCGCGGAACTTTTGGATCGGCGCCCGACCCCGCTCCCTGGCGCCTGAAGCTCCCTGGCGCGTGGAGCACGCCATGGGGCGGCGTCGGAGGCGCCGCCAGGCCCAATGCAGATCCAAGAGCTCCGCGCGGAGATCCAACAAAGTCCTGTGCTGATGCAGGCATTTCTCGTTCGAATTCTTTACAGTGGAGGCCAGTCCACAAGAGACCCTCCACAAGAAACCCAACCCTGAGACCCCAGGATGTAATTTTTTTTGGCGCGGGAACGTCACGCGTGCCATAGCAACACCATCGAAACCCAAGAAACCCAGAGCACTGTATCCCTCCCAAGCCTTGCAGGAGGGCGCCAACTACCCAGAGCTCCAGAACCCTGGGAGCAAAAAGCGAGGCGCCTCTTCGCAATTTCAGCCTCTCGGGGGCCCAGCCTTTTTGTTCCCAGGCCCAGGAGCCGCCAAGAAGAACGACCCAAGATGCAGAGCTGGCCCTGGGTAACGAGTCGAGACTTTCGAAGGCCCGGACTTAGACGAAGACAAAACGGCATAAACAGAAACTGGTGGCGCTCCGTGCGGATTTCTCGGATCTGCGCTGGACCCCCTCCCCGGCGCGCGGAGCGCGCCAGAGGCGGGGCCGGAGGCGCCGCCAGGGGGCCCCAAGCGCGGATCCAAGAAATCCGCGCGGAGCGCCAACAATTATGTTTGTGGCGTTCTTTCTTCTTGCGTAGTCGTGACTTCCGAGGGCCCCGTGCCGAAACAAAAAGAAGGACACATCGGATCCCTGGCTGTGCGCTTGCACGGGTCCCGGCTCGGTCCCTCCTGGGCCCGCGATCGGTGCGTCAAGCACGCGCTCCTGGCCTGGTCAGGGAGGCGTCCACGCCAGTCCAGGGGGCCTGTGGTCGGCATCGTCAGGCCAGTGTCTTCGGCAGTGGGCAAATCTCCCTGTAGTAAACCACCCTCGAGTGAAAACGGCCTGGGACCGAAACCGACGGACCTGGGCCCGCAGAAGTGACGGCCGCGACGCCCTCTCGCGAACCGAACACGGCCAATTCGCTAGTCGACGCGTCAGGGTAGGAGGTCCATCGACCTCCGATGTGCACCCGGGGGCTCTTCCACTGCTCCCTGGTGCTCCATGGCCCGGCCCTCCGCGCCAGATCTCAAGCAATCTGGGGCCAGTCCATGGCCACCCATGGCCATGCGAGGTGATCCCAGGCCTCTCCGAGGCCATCTGTGCGAGGCGGGGGTTTATCCATATCCACCGCCTGGGAACCGACGTCCTGGCGTCCTGGTGCCCCAGCAGGCGGTGGATATGGATATACTTCGGCCCCTGGGGGCCCGAATCTATCCATATCCACCGCCTGTCGAGGTCCCTGCCAATTGATCCTGGTGGCCATGTATAAATTCCCGCCTCGGAATCTGGAGGCAGAGAAATGCAGCAGCCGTTGGGGACAGAGGATATCCCGCATAGATCCCGCGCGACCCCAAAGAGGCGTTCTCCTGGTGGAAGCGGGTCCTGGGCCCCAGCGCATCCTGCCAGGATGCACTTTTTCCATCACGAGTGGTTCTGCTGACAGCCTTCCTCCAGGACCCGCGTTCTTCAGGTCCCAGGGGTCAGAAACATTCCCCCCGCACCCGTCCTGGGGTGCGGTCGACCATGATTCCGAGGTGGATCCAGCCGAGGCGACTGGGAGTCTCCGTGAGGCGCACCACGCGCCGACACGGCCCGCAATCTTGACACGTCCAGGACCCCCTTCGTCCAACACGCCGTCTCTTCGTGGCGGGCACCTCGCTTCGAGTCAAATAGTTCGGGTCCCTGTTCCTGGCGTCTATGTACGTGGCGCTGTCGAGGCCCCTCCTCCTCGCCAGCAGCCACATCAGCTCCGACCGCCGCTGCTCGGCTCGGCTCCAGGTGATGCTGGCGCCCTGCAGCTGCTTCGCGAGGCGCTGCGCGATGAAGGTGGTATACTCCTCCATCACGTGGGGCACATGTCCGTCACGGTGCAGATCCGCCGCCACGCTTGCAACGGTGGGCGCGCGTCGAATGCAACGTAGGTCTGCCGTGTCTCTAGTGCCTTGCCGAGCGATGATTAGCTCCACTTCGCGAAACTGGCACTAAATATACTTACATGTGCATATACACATGGACATGATATGTAATGGGCATATGCGTATGCATGTAGAAAATGTGTTGCTTGCCTGACCGTCGCCGCACTGATCCAGTGTTGTGAGTGGCCCGTCTTGGAGGCTCTGAAGACCGTCAGCGCGAGTGCCGGAATCGTATACAAATCTGAAGGCAACCTATGATTTTGCATACTCGGAGCCTCTTGGGAGTCTTCTTCGTGCCCCGAGGGGGTTTCGAAGGAGCCTGTTGCCTTGTCTTGCGGCCATCGTGGGGCCTTCTTGCGCCTTCACCCAGCGCCCGCGACACAGGTATCCTCGATTATGCGCAAACTGTGGCGAACCATCTGTTCTTGGTGTGTCTGTGGGTGTATTGGAACAAAGACAGTCATGCATACATCTAGATCTGCATGCCTGCACACATGCCCATACATACACACATTCCGATGCACACGAATACTTTTAGGTAACTGATACACATACACATACACACCGTACATGTATACTGATATACTCATACTACTAGTTATGTATTAGTACATATTACCAGTACTATAGACTAAACCATATTCAGGCGCATATGTATATACATGTGCTATTATACATATTATATACATAACTTACACACATAGACATGCATATGTGTATATGTAAATGATTAAGTAATACTACTACTAGTTCTATACAAGCGCAAACACAATAACACACACTCATATACATACATATGTAGATCCATGCACATAATTACGTGTCTATGCACACCAATGGCACGTCTCAGAACGAAAAACAATATACCGCGGGTGCAGTCGAAACCTCCCTGGACCCTCCCCACCCTGGCGGCCTCTCAGGGCCTCCGCGCAGGGTCTCGGGCAAGGCCCCCAGGTCGGATGCGTCAATAGCGCTTCGGCACCGCGGCCGCTTGCTGCTGTTCCCCGAGCGGCAACGGTCACCTGACCCCCCAAGTCGGCCCCAGCACCGCTGGTGTCCCCCCCCCCCCCCCCCAAAGACAGCCCCACGACCCTGGATGAGCCTCGAAGCCTCCTGGAGGGATCCAAATGTAAAACAGAGCTAGGATCGGGATAAATCGCTCCAGAGCGTTCCGGAGCGCTCTCAGAGCGTTCCGGAACGCTCTGGAGCGGCCGCGGCGCCCAATACATCCTCCAAACCCGCCGATTCTCAGAGACTTCGAGTTATCCCGATCCGATTTTGTTCCGATCTTCGCGTCGTTTGAAAAGGACAGCCCGAGAGCAGCGGCAGAGACCACCCGAGACGGGCCCGACCCGGCCCTGGCCTTGCCCAGGACGCCCCCCCAGGAAAGCCCTGGGGAGGCCCTCGGTGGCCCTGGCCTCGCCCAGGACGCCCCCCCAGGAAAGCCCTGGGGAGGCCCTCGATGGCCCTGGCCTTGCCCAGGACGTCCCCCCAGGAAAACCCTGGGGAGGCCCTCGATGTCCCTGGCCTCGCCCAGGACGCCCCCCAGGAAAGCCCCGCTTCCTCCTCCTCCTCCTCCTTCTCTTCCTCCTTCTCTTCCCTCCTCCTCCTCCTCCTCCTCCTCCTCCTCTTCTTCCCCGTCCTCCTCTTCCTCCTCTTCCCGAGACGGGCCCGGCCCGGCCCTGGCCTTGCCCACGGGGCGCCTGGGCGGTGCGGCGGCAGGGCGTGCAGCAACGCTTCCTCCTCCTCCTCCTCTCCACCTCCTCCTCCTCCTCCTCCTCCTACTCCTCCTCCTTTCCTTCCCTTCCTCCTCCTCCTCCCCTCTTCTCCTCCTCTCCTCCCCTCCCTCCTCCTCTCCTCCCCTTCCCCTACTTCCTCTCCGCCCTTTCCTCCTCACTCCTCATCCTTCCTCCTCCTCCTCCTCCTCCCTTCTCTTCCCTCCTCCTCCATCCTCCTCCTCCCTCCTCTTCTTCTTCTTCTTTCTGCTTCTTCTTTTTCTTTCCCTTCCTCCTCCTCTTCCCCTTCCTACTCTCTGCATCCTCCTCCTCTCCTCCTCTTCCTCCTCCTCCTCCCTTCCCTCTTCCCTCCTCCTCCTCCTCCTCCTGTTGGTGGGACCTCAGAGGCCCCCAATCGCTCGAGACGCCCGCGGAGCGCGGCCCAACAGGGGGTCTCTAAAGCGTGGGACCACCCCGAGCCCCAACGGACTCCTGCCTGACTCACCACGCGGTGTGGTCACCGCACCGCGCGGGGGCCCTCCACTCCAGGGCCCGTTTTCCCCGAGATCCACGTCGCGACAAGTTCCCCACACATCGCGAGAGATCACTTCCGCAGCCCCCGGATCCCTGAGAGAGTCTCCGGAGAGACCCGAGACGGCCCCACGACAGCGGCAGGGCTCCTCAGAAGCGCCCGACAGGGCTCACGAGAGGCCTCCAAGAAACCACAGCACACCCCGAAGACTCTTTCCATCCTCCCGCGGCATGTCAGGAGCCGAATCCATCCGTGAGGGCCCCCAGGGGCCCGAAGCAGGGCGAAGACGCGCTCGGTGCAGAACCTCCAAAAAGGGCAGGACTCGCCGCGGCGCCCAGGCAGTGCTGCGCCCGAGCGCTGCTGCGAGGCCTCCCCTCGGGGCCTGGCGACGACTCGGGGCACCCGCCGATCGGACTTGTGCCATCCGCGGCCTCAGAGGGCCTCCCTGGGGGCAGTTGATCGCCACAGATTCATTCTGGCTGGTCCAGGGGACCGAGGACGGGCCGCAGAGGCCGAAGCCGATAAAGCACGCCCGAATCATGTGAGCGTTTGCTTCTTCAGCGTTTCGACATTGGGCGGGCGGAAGGTGGGGGGGGAGGAGAGGGTCTGGCTCCGGACCTCTGCTTCATTAGGGGAACAAAAAATGACATAAACATAAAAACTCGGAGGTCCGCGCGGATTTCTCGGATCGGCGCTGGGGCCCCCCGGCGGCGCCTCCGGCGCCGCCCCTGGCGCCCTCCGCGCGCCAGGGACGGGGGTCCAGCGCCGATCAGAGAAATCCGCGCGGATCTCCGAGTTTTTATGTTTATGCCACTTTTTGTTCCCCTATTCATGCGTCTGTTGGAACCAGTGCGTCCTGTGGGGGAGACTCCACCTGCCCGAAACCGGCGACAAACAAACAGCCAAGACCTACTCCAGGGGGGGGAGAGGGGGGGAGGCGAGGGCCCGCGCCGATCGGCAAAACAATGAAGAGGGCAACGACGAAACAACTCATCGGAGATCTAGCATTAGGTCGGGCATGTCCCCCGTCAGGCATATATTTGAGGAAAAAATTAAAAATGTTCAGCGACAATTCGAGAATAACCAAGAATTATGACAAATCGTCCGCACACTATTGTTTGACAGAATTTGAAGATTCCTCCCGTAAAGGGACACGCCCGACTCAAATCTAGGTGAACCCCCCGAGGCCACCATGCAGCGCCCCCTAGCCGTGCCACGCCGCAGCGCTGCCGTGAGGCCTCTTTCTGGGCCCCTGGCGACGGAGGCTCGCGGCAGCGAGGCCTGGCTAGATGTTGTGGGGCGCCGTCACCAGCACCGGCCTGTCGCCCTCCGTGGACACCTGTGCGATAAAAACAAAGAGACCTTAGCCGAGATGACCTGGCGACCCTGCGCGGCGGCTTGCGCGGGCTGCCAGCGCGACCCTGCTCGGGAGGCTCCCGCGCCCGTGCCTGCGAAGACGGCCCCCCGTGCTTCCGCGCCGCTCTCGCCTGCATGCGCTGGAGCACCCTGACCCGCAGCTCCGCGGCGAGCTCCTGCACCTCGTGGGCGCGGACGCTGCGATTTTTCTGTTTGCTTCGAGCGGCCCCCACCAGAGAGCGCGGGGTGGGACCCCCAGGGAGCACGGCCCTTTTGTTTTGGTCAAAAATCCCCCTTACAGGGGATGTTGGACAAAAAGCAAAAATTACTCACTGCGTGGAGCTCCCCATATGTGCATCTCATGTTTTATGTCATGCCGTGGTGAGCGTCTGTTCATGAGCGGTCGACTACAATAGCGCGTCCACGTGGACGACAGGGCCGACGAAGACGAGTGACCCCTAATGCGAGTGATTGCGTATGAGTCAGAGTGAGCTTTGAGTATGGTTGAATGCGAGCCTCTTCCTCTTCATCCCCCCTCCTCAGCTGCCAGGCCTTCCCCTTTTCAGCCCGTGGTAGCTTTGGAGCTTCCCACATGTGCATATTGTAGGATAGTTGGCAGTGGGATATGTAAGACGAGCGTTTAGCCACACAAGGCCATAAGTGCATGTCATGTTGGAGGATATTGCCACGGTGGGCATTTCCAACGATCCCCGCACACAACCACCGCCCCCCCCTCGCAGTCACCCCCTATGAATACATACATATATATATATGTATATATATATATATATATATATATATATATGTCCTGGACTTCGGAACAAACGTTCTGCTCGCGTCAAGGACCTTCGAGCAAAGCGCCCTCCTCCTCCTCCTCCTCCTGTTCCTCCGCCCCCTCCCTTCTCCTGCTCCTGCTCCTCCTCCTCATCCTCCTGCTCCCCCTCCCCCTCCGCACCCCCATGCCCTTCCTCACGATTCCTCCTCCTCCTCCTCCTGTTCCTCCTCCTCATCCTCGTTCCTGTCATTTCCCTCCCTGTTGAGCCCAGAAACAAGCGAACCGCCTGAGACATCCCCACAATATGGCCGCGAACGTGCCCGTGCAACCACCCCTGGCGGCTCCCCCCTTAGGGGTGCTGCAACCAGCGCCCCGCCTGAGACATCCTCCAATCTGCTCTCCAAGCGAAGGATGTTGAGCCCAGAAACAAGCAAACCGCCTGAGACATCCCCACAAAATGGCCGCGAACGAGCCCGTGCAACCACCCCTGGCGGCTCCCCTTAGGGGTGCTGAAACCAGCGCCCCGCCTGAGACATCCTCACAATCTGCTCTCCAAGCGAAGGATGTTGAGCCCAGAAACAGGCAAACCGCCTGAGACATCCCCACAAAATGGCCGCGAACGAGCCCGTGCAACCACCCCTGGCGGCTCCCCTTAGGGGTGCTGAAACCAGCGCCCCGCCTGAGACATCCTCACAATCTGCTCTCCAAGCGAAGGATGTTGAGCCCAGAAACAAGCAAACCGCCTGAGACATCCCCACAAAATGGCCGCGAACGAGCCCGTGCAAACACCCCTGGCGGCTCCCCTTAGGGGTGCTGAAACCAGCGCCCCGCCTGAGACATCCTCACAATCTGCTCTCCAAGCGAAGGATGTTGAGCCCAGAAACAAGCAAACCGCCTGAGACATCCCCACAAAATGGCCGCGAACGAGCCCGTGCAACCACCCCTGGCGGCTCCCCTTAGGGGTGCTGAAACCAGCGCCCCGCCTGAGACATCCTCACAATCTGCTCTCCAAGCGAAGGATGTTGAGCCCAGAAACAAGCAAACCGCCTGAGACATCCCCACAAAATGGCCGCGAACGAGCCCGTGCAACACCCCTGGCGGCTCCCCTTAGGGGTGCTGAAACCAGCGCCCCGCCTGAGACATCCTCACAATCTGCTCTCCAAGCGAAGGATGTTGAGCCCAGAAACAAGCAAACCGCCTGAGACATCCCCACACAATGGCCGCGAACGAGCCCGTGCAACCACCCCTGGCGGCTCCCCTTAGGGGTGCTGAAACCAGCGCCCCGCCTGAGACATCCTCACAATCTGCTCTCCAAGCGAAGGATGTTGAGCCCAGAAACAAGCAAACCGCCTGAGACATCCCCACAAAATGGCCGCGAACGAGCCCGTGCAACCACCCCTGGCGGCTCCCCTTAGGGGTGCTGAAACCAGCGCCCCGCTTGAGACATCCTCCAAATCTGATGTGTGTTGAGTAAGTCTGAGTATGAGTAGGTCTGAGTATGAGTATGCCTGAGTATGAGTAAGTCTGTGTATGAGTAAGTCTGTGTATGAGTAAGTCTGGGTATGAGTAGGTCTGTGTATGAGAAAGTCTGTGTATGTGTACGTCTGGGTATGAGTAAGTCTGAGTATGAGTAATACTGTGTATGAGTAAGTCTGGGTATGAGTAAGTCTGTGTATGAGTACGTCTGGGTGTGAGTAAGTCTGTGTATGAGTAAGTCTGTGTATGAGTATTTCTGAGTGTGAGTAAGTCTGAGTATGAGTAGGTCTGAGTATGAGTAAGTCTGAGTATGAGTAAGTCTGAGTATGAGTAGGTCTGAGTATGAGAAAAAAGGAGGAGGGGAGGAGGAAAGAGGAGGAGGGAGAGGGAGTAGGAGGCGCCCAAGTAATAACAATAACCCCATCTTAGGATATGGGGAAATAGTCAGACAATATTCCAAGATGGACAACAAATACTCAAAAAATCGTCCCCGCACTATTTTGTCACTATTTTGGAATCTCCCTCCTGTAGAGGGACAGGCCCGACTTAACCCTTGGAGTCCCTGGCGGCCGCGGCATGCACTCCGCAAGCCGACGAGGGCGCGCGGCGGGGCATCCCCAGGGAGCACCCGGTGCCCTCCGAGCCTGGCGGCCGCGGTGTGCAGGGCGTGCGAGGCGGGCCGGGGCCTTTTTTTATATATAAAAAAGAGTAAGACAAAGTATATATTCAATAATACACACAAAGCCCAGGATCCCCCATACTTTCCAAGCTTTTCTAAATTTCCGTTTCCTCCCCCACCTCCCATGTTTTCCGATAGTCTCCTGGGAATCGTCGACTGATTGTGGCCGTGTGCTTTTTTGCCTTCTGAACTCTCCCTTCAAATCTAAGAGCCCCAACCTGTCGGGCGGAGAATGAACCAAACCTTTCGGAGACCCACGCGCCTTTTTTGGCTCGGCCTGGGTAGTCGAAGCCAATCTGGCGCCAATCTGGCAGGCCCGATCTGGCAAACGGGGGCAATCTGGCGAGGGAGCCAGCGCGAATCCAGCCTGGCGAATAACCCAAAGCATCCAGTTTGGCCGGGCCAGATTGGCCCTTGGGGCCCAATCCAATCTGACAGTCTGGCCTTCGACTACCCAGCTTTCGGAGACCCACGCGCCTTTTTTGGCTCGGCGCTGATACCCCCCTCTGAATCCAACGCCGATCCAAGAGATCCGCGCGGGCCTCCGACAACCTTCGGTGGCAACTCCTTGGACCCCCCCGTGCCGTCGTGCTGGCTCCTGCGAACCGACGCTGCGCCGATGCTGAGGCGATGCCAATTCGACGCTGGATCGGCCCTTTCCCACGCTACTGCACGCTGCACTCTGGGTAGTCGAAGCCAATCTGGCGCGCCCAATCTGGCAAACGGGGGCAATCTGGCGAGGGAGCCAGCGCGAATCCAGTCTGGCGGACAACCCAAATCATCCAGTTTGGCCGGGCCAGATTGGCCCTTGGGGCCCAATCCAACCTGACAGTCTGGCTTTCGACTACCCAGGCACTCTAAAAACGGAATTGAAAACACTCCCGTGATCTGGGCAAAACCACAAGATACGGTACCGATACCGCTACTGCCCGAACTCTCCCGGGGTGCGTTCCGGCACGGCTTTCGAGGCGAGTCCAGCCGTGGCGACGAGGACCTCCCAGGAAGCCCAAGAGGGGGAAAGCGAGGGAAGGGCAGCGGTAGGGGTACCTCCTCGACGATCTGCTACGGCAAGTTCGTGTCGTGACGACCCCAGGCGTTGGTTTCTGACACCGCGTGGATCGTTCAGCCTTGAACGATCGGCGGCTCTTCGATCGCCCGATTCTTCCTTCAATACAGGCCGATTCTGGGCCACTGGCGGCGTTCAACCTTGAACGCTCGCGGCGGGGTCGCCGCTGGTCGACACGACGCGAACCTGCCCTACCGAAGACAACTCATGCTCATGCGGTCGCTCCTTCCTCCAGCACCGTGTCCGGCCGCAGCTCCCTCTGCCCCGTGTCCTCCAGCCGGCGGTTCAGGTTGCACCTGCCCCGCTCCTCCTCCGCCAGCGCCCGCAGCAGCGCGGGGGCCGAGGTCACGCCGCACCGCAGCAGCTTCTTCAGCGCAGCCTGCTGCTCCTCCAGGACCAGGTGGCCTCCTCCCCCTGCTACTCCACCTCTTTCTGCTTTCGAGCCTTCGTGACCAGCTAGGCTCGATCCTGCACATCTCTCTCCTCCTCCTCCTCCTCCTCCTCCTCCTCCTCCTCCTCCTCCTGGCCCTCCTCATCTTCGTCATCCTGACCCGCCGCCTACGCCCACGCCTCCGCCTCCACATAGGCCTCCTCATTCACCCTCCCACGTCCTCCCTCCTGTAGGGAGGCACAGAAGGGGGAGAGGGAGGTGAACAGGCACGAGGGAGGAGGATGGATCGGAGCAGAGCGAGCCGAGACGGCGGCAGCTGAGACTCGGTCCCTGGAGCCCTGCCTGGGTCCAGACTCGCCCCTTTTCCGCGCTGCGTCCCGCCGCGGCGGCGAAGGGGCCGCCCGCAGGCCAGATGCCGCTGCCTCGCCTCGCCCTCCTCGCAGCATCGCATGGGGAAGCATGGCATCACCCGGACCGACACTGACGCCGAACCCGATCGAGATGGGCCGTCCTCCCGTCGCGCCCACTGCCAGCGCACCACGTCCTCCAGCTCCTCGAGCTCCAGCGCCCGCTCCTCGGGTGCGCCCGGGAGGGGGGCCCTCCGGGACGGGGAGGCTTGCACGGCGCGGCCCGGAGCACGTGCGCGGCCCAGGTGGGGAGCCACGGGGCGCTTTTTTTTGGGGGGGGGGCCGGCCGGGCGTGAGCACATCGTGGCGCTGTGCGGAGGCTGCGAAACAGAAGGGCCCCTCGAAAGAAGAAGCAACAAGGGCCTGCTCTTGGCTTCCTCCTTTTAGTCGGCGCCCCTCTCACGGGGACTCCACTGACGGGTACTTTGGCCAGTGACCCGGCGAATCCAATCCTCCCCGATGTGGGCAACCCTGCAATGCCAGAAAGGGGCCCTAAAGTGGCAACTTTCGGCAAATTTCCGAAATACCCGTTAGCGAGTACCCGTTACGGTGCCGCTGATTTAGGCGTACCGGAACCTGACCGGACAAGAACGGGAAACGCCGCTTTTGTCTACTAGGCGTGTGAAGTATGCTCTGTTGTTGGTCTGCCGCGCAGGTATGTCGTGGCGTGCGTGCCGTCGTGCGTGCGGGGTGCGTTCAGCCGTGCTCCTGTGTGTTCTGCCGCGTTCCTGACTTCTGCCGTGCAGATCGTCGCGGTGCTCTCTGTGGCGGATCTTTGGGGCGCGCTCGGTTTGGGGGATCCTTGGAGGTGCTCGTTTTGGCGAATCTTTCGGGGTGCTCGTTCTGTGGCGGATCCTTGGGGGTCGCTGCTTGTGGCGGATCTTGGAGGCGCGCTGCCTGGTGAGCATCGGAGCACGGCAGAACACACAGGAGCACGGCAGACGACACAGGAGCGCGGCAGAACACACAGGAGTATGGCAGAACGCAAACACACAGGAGCAAGGCACAACAAACAGGAGCACGGCAGAATACATGGGACCACGGCAGAACACACAGAACACGCAGGAGCAGGGCAAAACACACACACGAGCACGGCAGGACACACAGGAGCATGGCACAGTACATAGGAGCACGGCAGAACGCGCAGGAACACTGCAGACGATTTTCAGAGGATGTCTGCAGCGAGAGCGCCATTTTCAACATGAGAGGTAGTAGAGCAACTCTTCCAACATATCATTTTGGTGAGGATGTCTCAAGCGAAACGCCCATGTTTGAAAACATGTCAATTTCGCGACTTCCCATGTTGGGAGGATGTCTCGGGCGAAGCGTTCGTTTTCCATAAACGACGATGGTGCGAATAGCTTGTAGCTTGAAGCAATCCCTTGCGGAATCGCTGTTTTCTGCAGTCTCGTGAGCGTTTTTGAGATGACCGTTGGGCCATGTTTGAGCTCATATACGCCGTCTTGAAGTCTTATACCAACGATCTCAACATCATGTTAGTAGCATCTCATTTTTGTGAGAATGTCCATCGCGAAATGACATTTTTGGTTTTATTTACACCGTGTGTGTTCTGCCTGCTCTTCGTGTTCTGCCGTGCTCCTGTGTACTGCCGTGCTCCTGTGTTCTTGGCGTTCTGCCGTGCTCCCGTGCGTTTAATTTAAAGACGGGGCCTTGAAGGCGTAGGGGCGTGCACAACAAATTACGGGCAGGGCCAGACGGGACAGAGCTCCCGAGAGAAGCCGAGCCCCAAAGAGCACTGGGGGCTACGCGAGCCTACTCACCACAAGAGCAACAGGCGCGAGCCTCACCGATGCAACCTCTCACTCACTCACTGAGGCGCCTCACCTGGGCCGCCTCCAGCAGCCGAAGGCCCTCGGCGATGTCGCCGCGCTGGAGGGCCTCCCTCGCCAGCATAGCGGCGCCGAAAATGAGCTGCTGGGCCTCCGTCGGGGCCTCCGCCGCCGCCGAAACCTCGGGCACCTCCTGCTGGGTGATCTCTTCGAGGACAGCAGCCCAGCGCGAGGCCCCCTCGTGCGCCTCCAGCAGCGCCTCGGCGCCACGCGCCCTCGGCGCCAGCGCAGACGGCTTGCAGTCCCCGCTGCGGGCGGCCTGGCGCACGGACGCCTCCTCGTGGGAACAATTGTCCGACAAGGTTGACCTGCCGTGATCCAACGCCTGCTCGACCACCTCCAGCAGCGCTGGGTCCGAGCTCCTGCCAACGCCATTCGCCTCGAGCGCGGGCTCGCCTTCGTCCTGGTCCACCGTTTGCGTGCCAACCTCCACGGACAGCTTCCCGATGAACCTCCCGACCTCCAGGTCCAGCACGTCTCCAACGCACAAGTCCGAGAGCTGTACCTCCAGCTTCCCAGCCTTGCTGTCTGGGGCGTGCACGCTGGCCTGCTCCGTCGGCTCCCCCAGCTGCTTCGCCAGAAGCATAAGCAAGGACTTCTCCTCCAGCTCGTCCGTGGCCTTGCAGTTTGGGGCGTACTCGATGTCCTTCATCTCCGCTTGCTCACTCACCTTGGTTTTGCGGCCGCCGCGCTGCCCCCGCTTGGCCCCGCGGCCAGTCTGCGGCAGGCCGTCGGCACCGCAGCCCATGTCGACGTGTAAGCCAGAGTTGCGCATGGCCCTCATGTCACCGCTGATCACGGCGTTCCCGGTGGGCCCGGCCTTGACCAGCTGGGCGAGCGCTGGCGCCATCATGGCCAGCCTGGCAGCGACCTCCTCCTGCACGCCGTCGGCGCCGACGTAAGAAGAGCGGATCGCGGCCGACGCCATCGCTGCAGCAACCTGGCGCGCAGCGCCGCCCGCGGCCGCGCCGAGCGCCGCGGCCGGGACGTTCGCGGCGCCAGGCTGTGCACCCACGATGCCCGCCAAGGCCTGGCAGGTAGCGACCGTCGCCATGCTCTCAAGCGCCGTCGCGAGTACGGGAACCGATACCGCGCGAAGCACAGAGCCAGCTTGAGCCAAAATGGCTACGGATTGCTCCTGTGCGTTCTGCCGTGCTCCTGTGTGTTCTGCCGTGCTTCTGTGCGTTCTGCCTTGCTCCTATGTGTTCCGCCGTGCTCCTGTGTATTCCGCCGTGCTCCTGTGTGTTCTGCCGTGCTCCTGTGTGTCCTGCCGCGCTCCTGTGTGTTCTGTGAGTTCTGCCTTGCTCCTATGTGTTCCGCCGTGCTCCTGTGTATTCTGCCGTGCTCCTGCGTGTTCTGTGTGTTAAAGTTAAAGACGGGGCCTTCAAGGCAAGCGGTGGCCAGGAAAACAGGGGCACGGCCAGACGGGGCCCACGTTCCCGAGAGAAGCCGAGTCCCAAGCGAGCACCGAAGGCGACGGGAGCCTACTCACCACGGGGAGCAGCTGGCGCGAGCCTCACCGATGCACATCTTTCACTCGCTCACAGTCGGATCGCCACGGCGCGCCAGGCGGCGGCGCACCCTGCGGCCCTCCAGGGCGCCGACTGCTGCATTGGCCGCGGCGGCGTGGCCCTCCTCGGCGATCTCGAGGGCCCCGGGGCGCCCAGCTCTCGCCGCGGCAGGGCGCCGCAGAGGCTGGCTGGCAACGGCCGACGCGACGGGCGCATCCGCGGGGGCCTCGCCAAGGCCCTCCGCCACCTCCGCTCTGCGGCTGCCGCTGGGACGCCGCTCGCACTGCTCGCAGTGGCCGAGGGGTCGACTGCTGGCCCCGCTGCGATGCCAAGCCACTCCAGGTACCGCTCCTGCGCATGCTCGGGCACAGGCCCCTTCAAGCGCAGAGCAGGGATGCCATATCCTTTCACTTGGTGCCTGGCAGCTCGTGACCCTTCCTGCATCCTGCCTCCTGTATGGAGTCCCCGTGGCCAGAGGCTGCACTGGTCCCTGCCCGCCTCGTCGGCCTTGCCGCCAGGGCAGCGCTCCTGGGGGCGAGGCCTCTCCCCTGAGCGGCCGCCCAGCGTCATGTAGGCGCTGCGCATGGAGCACGCCTCGAGCTCCTGGGTGTCCTCAACCTTCTCCAACGCAGGCGTAGGGCAGGGCGTGTCCCAGGACGCTGAAGGCTGCGGCGCTGGCCGAGAGGGCGGCCGAACTGCTGCCAGTCGAGCTAGCGCCAGCGATATCCTCCGCCGCCCGGGGCTCCTCGGTGGTGGCAACGCGCACCTGGCGCCGCTCAGCAGCAGGAAGGAGCCCTTCGCAATCCTTGCCCGCGATGCCGTGCCTGATGCTGGCGGCCCGACAGATCCAGCGCCCAAGCTCCTGCGCGATCTCCCCCTGCGCGCGGTGATGCTTCTGCGTGGTCTGCTGTGCCCCCGAGCTCCCCGAGCGACTCCACGCCGCGCCGGCCGCAGGCCCATCCTTGTGGAACGGGTCCAGCCCCGCTCCCGCAGCACGGAGGCGGCCCGCGCGCACGGCGCACGGCTCCCGGGGCTCGTGCTCGGCCCTCACGCACTCCTCGCCCCGCGAAGGCGGCGTCCGCGTAGAGGTTCCTGGCCTGCAAGGTCTTACAGAAGAAGGTCCAGCCCTGCGTTTCCCAGCGCCCGCCTGGTAAGAGCACGTGTGGACCTCGGGGCGCCCGCAGGTCGAAGCCCTGCTCGACTCCGCACCGCCGCAGGAAGGCGTGCCGTTGGCTCTCGTAGAGCTTGGTGATGTCCAGGCAGAGGCTGGCGGAGGCAAACCCCCTCCCTCGCGCGGAGGCGGCGCAGGCGCTGCGCCGCCAGCTTGCCTCGTCGAACTTGCGGTCCCTCATGCTCCAGAAGAAGCGGTGATCGTGCTCCGCCTCCCGCGGCGCGCCGATGGGCTGCCTCTGGCTGCCCCAGATGCGCATGGGCCGTGTGCCGCGCACTGTCGGTCGGACTCCTCCGTCCGACTGGGGAAGGAAGACCATCGTGGCAGCGCGGGCGCCCAGGTGCTGGGCCGGGCTGGGGCAGGGCCTCCTCCTCGGCGCCGCTGCTCGCGCGCGGGCGCTGCCCCGCAGCGCTGGCCCCGCTAGGCGCTCGCCAGCCCTGGCTGCACTCCTCCGTTGCTGCCCCCAGCTGCGTGACCAGCAGGGCGGGCAGCCAGAGGGGCCAGGTCCGCAGCCTCAGCGACCAGCTCCTTCTTGCATGCCTGGGACACTCGCGGCCACTCGCCGAGCGCGCTGCCGCGCCGCTCGGCTTGGCCACGTTCCGCCGCGGCCTGCGGCTGCCAGGGCTCGCTGCCGCTTGCGAGCTCGCTGTCGTCGCTGCTGATCTCTTCCATGGGGCAGGACTCAGCCCACGGCGCTCGCTCGGGGGCTGGCGGGGGCATCGTGAGCTGCGCCCGCGCCGCCTCCACCTGGGTGCGTATGGCCGCCCATGCCGCCTCGAAGTTGCTGGGGCCCCAGACCTCTGGCAGCTTGTCCAGCTGCGAGAGGAGCCCTGGCACGTGGCTGGCTCCAGCCCGCTCGGCAGCGCGCTGTCGCCGCTCTCCTCCGCCTCCTCGCGGGCTGCTTCTTCGAGGACGTTGGGGCGCCCTGCTGGCCTCCTCCACCTCGCCGTCGAGCGTCGCGAGCCTGTCCTGGGCCTTCTGCAGCTGGACCTCCGCGAGGTCCCGCGCCGCCTGCCTCTGCTCGAGTGTCTGGCGGGCTGAGCGGAGCCGCTTCTCTTCCTTGCTGATGGCGTTCGCCTCCTTGTGTAGCAGAGCCGACCGCGGCATTGCGGAGGCCTTCTGCTCCGCTGCCTCCTTCTGGGCGCAGGCCAACTCTGCCCTCTTCGCCTCCAGCTGGTTGGCCACGACGTCCGTGAAGCAGCTGTCGACGCTGTCGGGTGGCCCAACCAGCAGCGCCTCGAGCCGCTCGACCGTTGCCTGCAGCCTCTCGATCGCCGTGACTCCTCCTCCGCTGCTGGGCGCCCCACTCGCCGCTGAAGCCGAGGTCTGCGACTTGATGGATGCCGTGCGCGACGCTGCGCTGCGGGCATGCCGTTGGGCTCGGCGCCCCCGAGGCTGGTCCGCCCAGCCGCCCTTGTCTGCCTCGGGCTTCGCCTTGCCGCGGGGTGGCCCCAGCGCCCAGGGCGGTGCGGCATGCCCAGAGCTGAGACACGTGGAGCGCCGGTCCCAATTCCAACTACCGCAGGTGCACATCCAGTAGGTCTTGCTGCGCCTGCCACTGCTGCCGCCGCGCTGGGACCTCGCCATGGCGCCCGCTGCGCTGCCCGCGGGGCCACGCCCTCACGCTGCGAGAGCAAGAAACACAACAAGAATTTGCACTGGCCCAAAGCGCGGAGACCCTCGCGCTCAGAGCGCCGCGAACGACTCGCGGTCGTCGGGCTCTCCATGGTCTTGAGCCAAAATGGCTACAAACGTGTTCTGTGTGTTCCGCCGTGGTCCCATGTGTTCTGCCGTGCTCCTGTGCGTTGTGCCGTGCTCCTGCGTGTTCTGCCCTGCTCCTCTTTGTTCTGCCGTTATCCTGCGTGTTCTGCCGTGTTCTGCCGTGCTCCTGTGTGTTCTGCCGTGCTCCTGTGTTTTCTGCCGTGCCCCGGTGTGTCCTGTGTGTTCTGCCGTGCTACATGTTTATTCTGCAGTGTTCATGTTTGTACTGCCGTGCTCCTGCCATGCTCCTTCGCTGTTGGAGCCTAATCTGCCGTGCTCCTCGTCTTGTTCTGCCGTGCGCCTTTCGGTTTGAATACGATGTCGCGAATATCTCATTTTGTTGAGGATGTCTGTAACAATTTCGCCATTTTCGGGACACTTCAAGAACGATGCCAAGAATATGTTAAGACCATCTCATGTTTGAGGATGTCCCCAACGAAATGCTCATTATCTGCCGTGCTCTTTTTCCCGTCTGCCGTGCTCCACCCGATTTTCTGAGGATGTCCGCAGCGAGAGCACCATTTTTAACATGAGCGGTGGTGAACCAACTTTCCCAACATATCAGTTTTGTGAGGATGTCCGGCTCTCATTTCTGCATCTGAGAATGACGTCAAAACGATGTTGCGAGCATCTCATTCTTTGAAGATGTCCCCAACGAAATGTTAAGTTTCTGCCGTGCTCCTTTTTTTCCGTCTGCCGCGCTTTCTCAGGATGTCTGCAGCGAGAGCGCTTTTTTTAACATGAGAAATAGTAAGCCAGCTTATCCAACATATTTCATTTGTTCGAGGATGTCCCAGGCGAAACGCTCATTTTTTCATGAGCAACAGAAATCCTCTGCTTTTCTACATCCAGGCATTCTGAGGACGTCTCAAACGAAAACGTCATTTTAAACAGAAGCCGTCTTAAACGATAGCCTCCAACGTATCCATTTCGTGAGGCTGTCTCGGGCGAAATGGCCATTTTGAAGGATCCGCCAACGAACAACCAAGTGCAATCCCGAACCCCATATAGTAAGATATTGTTTACTATGATACAGATTCAGCCAGAAGGTCCAGCTCGCTTCTCGTATCTCACAGGCGCTTCCCGTCATCCGCCAACCCCCGCTTGCTGGAGGTGCAGAGGCGTGTGAGATCATTGGCTGTCCCCTTCCCCCGTTCTTTCCCCCTCCCCTGGGGCCTGAAATCTGATCAGGGGGGGGGGACGGCCTCCAGAACCTCCAAATCTAGAGACCGTGACCTCCGGGATGCCCAGGATGCCATCTGAGCTCGCTCAAGCTGGGCTCCAACATGCCGAGGAGCCCTCAAAGACTACCAGGATGGCCTCAAGATTGCCCAAGACGCTCCAAGAGGGCTCAAAGAGGGCTCCAAGACGATCCCCGAGGGGGGCCCCAACAAGCAAGAATCGTTTGAATCCCGAAGGAAAGCGCAGGTTGTCGGCATATTCGCATTTTTGGTCTGAGAAGCGTCCAAGACGTCTCAGGATGTCCCTTAGATCCCTCCAAGACGAGCCAAGAAGCCTCCAAGAGGGTTCCAAGACGGTCGAAGAGGGTCCCAAGACGGCCTAAGAGGCGCCCATGATGGCTCAAGAGAGCCCCAAGAGGGCCCTAAGAGAGGCCCAAGAGAGGCACCTCGAACTGATATTCCTAGCCCTCCGCCACAAGGACCCCCGAGACCGCCACCAGGCGCCCACGAAACTCCCAAAAGGCCTGGCGAGGCCTCCAAGAGGCCCAACAGGAGGCCCCCAGACGGTCCCCAAGGGGCCTCACCCGTAGACTTCATCCCTCTTCTGGGGGTCGGCGGAATGGCGTCTGTCTGTCTGTCTGTCTGTCTGTCTGTAGCCTTGCATCCCTGACGGGCTCGCGGGCACAACGAGGTGCTCATATCACGGCCCCCGCCACGATATCCACTAGGGGCCTCCTGGATGGGGTCGGAATAGTTGGGGTTGGAGGATCGCGCCGCATCGCCGATGCATCGGCGATGCACCCGCGACTCGCCGATGCACAGGCGACGTCGGAGTGCGGTGATCGGCCTCCACATCGAGCTGCATCGCCGATGCATCGGCGATGCGACGCGCTCCTCCGACGCCATCGAATTACTCGAACCCCATCTGAGAGACCTACGTCCACACCACCCTCTTTCGGAGTTCCGCCCATAGCCATCAGTGGAAAAAGAGAGGGCGCCCACAAGCAACGTGATCCCAAGAAATTTACAAGCAAGCCTGCGAAGCATCTGGGGTTGGGGAGGCCCTTGGGGCGCGGCGGCCACGGCGTGGCCGCAAGGACACCATTTCTTCGGCCACGGCGTGGCGGGTCGCAGCCAGGGAGTACTGTAATCCCACGCGGTAGTGGCCATGTGCCCATGTCTTCACGTGCTTGCGAGCATCGTTTAACCGATCCCTATCCCTGGCCGCTTTACCCCTCAGATGGAGATGTAGGCTGTCCCTCTCGAGATGATTCGGGGGGGCCAATCCCAACCGGGGTGGTGGGATGGTGGGGATCGGGATGGGGATGAAGATGAGGATAGGATCGTTGACACGATACCGAGCTTGCTCACCTGGTCCCCCCCCCCTCTTTGATGGGTCTGTTTTCCACCACCACCACCACCATAAGTTGGAGGGGGGAAGAAGGTGGAGGATGAGGATGAGGATGAGGATGAGGATGAGGAGGACCCCCTCCCCCTCCAACTCATGGTGGCGGTGGTGGAAAACAGGCCCATCAGCCTTGCACGCCCCTGATCTCCACGAGGGCCACCAACTCCTCCAGGCCCTCGCCCTCGGGCGCTGGGCCGCGGAGCCGGTCGAGGAGGTCCCTGCCGAGCCCGGCGACGCCCGCGCTGCGCTGCACCAGGCCTGCGGCGGCTGCCGCCGCCGCCGACGCCGCCGACGATGCCGCCGACGCCGCCGGCGGCGGCGGCGACGCAGACGACGGCGGCGACGCCGACGACGGCGGCGCCGACGGCGGCAGCGCCGCCGACGGCGGCGGCAACGACGACCGCGCCTGGAGGCCTCCAGGACGCCCGGATCGTAACCCAAGCTCTCAAATCTCTTGAGGCTCCCCGCGCGCCCTCTGGGGCCCCCAGAATGTTCCCGCATGTCTTTTTCGAGCCCGGGAGAGGCCCAAGACGGGCCGAGAGGCCCCCAAGAGGCCCTCAAGACGGCCCGAGGAAGCCCCGAATCACCGAACGATCGGTCGAAGACACCCAACATGGCCCCATGGCAATCATCATCATCATCATCATCATCATCATCATCATCATCATCATCATCATCATCATCATCAGCAGCATCATCATCATCATCATCATCATCGTCATCGTCTTCATCGTCATCATCGTCATAATCGTCATCATCGTCATCATCGTCATCATCGTCATCATCGCCATCATCGTCATCCTCGTCATCATCGTCGTCATCGTCATCACCGTCATCATCGTCATCATCACCATCACCATCCTCATCATCATCATCACCATCAACAGCATCATCGTCATCATCAGCATCAGCATCATCATCACCACTACCACCATCCAGAGCGCGCTGGATCGGCGGCACTGGGCGGAGACCAGCACAATAATGATAAGTCTAATAATAATAATACCTATACGACCACCCTTCAGGTGATAAGGAGGTTCGGGGGGAGGAACCAACGTCTCAGTCGATCGGTCTCACTATCGATCTCACTATCGATCTCACTATCGATCTCACTATCGGTCTCGCTCGATCGATCTCACAATCGATCTGATTATCGATCTCACAATTGATCCCACTATCGATCTCACTATCGATCTCACAATCGCTCTCAATTCGGTCTTACTATCGATCTCACTATACATATCACAATCGATCCCACAATCAACGTCATCATCATCATCAACAACATCCTCATCACCATCGTCATCATCGTCATCATCATCATCACCATCATCATCATCATCCTCATCATCATCGGGACACCAGCATCGTCACCATCATCATCATCAACATCACCATCATCGGGACATCATCATCATCATCAGCATCGGAACACGACCATCATCATCATTATCATCATCAGCATCTCATCGTCATCATCATGAAAAACATCATCAACATGATCATAATCGGGGCAACATCATCATCATCATCATCATCATCATCTGCAACATCATCATCAACATCATCATCATTATTATCATCATCGGGACACCATCATCATCGGGACACCATCATCATCATCACCATCATCATCACCATTTGGACACCATCATCATCATCATCATCAGAATCATCACCATCATTGGGCCACCATCATCATCATGATCATCATCACCTCATCACCATCCTCACCATCAACATCATCATCATTAGTACACCGTCATCGTCATCATCATCAACATCATCATCATCGGGACACCATCCTTATCATCACCATCATCATCATCATCAAACGCATCGTCATCATCGGGACACCATCATCAGCATCTTCATCATCATCAACATCATCAGGAACATCAACATCATCATCACCATCATCGGGACACCATCACCATCATCATCATCATCATCATCATCATCATCATCATCATCATCGGGACACCATCGTCATCACCACCAACACCATCACCATCAGCATCATCATCATCAACATCGTCAACACCATCATCATCATCATCATCATCATCGGGGCAACATTATCATCGCCACCATCACCATCATCACCATCAACATCATCGACATCATCATCATCACCATCATCATCATCATCATCATCATCATCATCATCATCATCATCATCATCATCATCATCATCATCATCATTATCGTCATCATCATCATCATCATCGGGACACCGACGGGACACCGGCGGGACACCGCGCGGCACCGGCCCCCAGAGAGGAATCATTTGGTCCGGCCGCGCCTCAGCCGGAGGAGACTTTCTTCTCGCCCGCCCACGCAGCTTCGCCTCGCCCGCAAGCACGGCACGCACGAACACGAAACCGAAACCGATTTTCTGGTAGGGGGGCTCTCCGTTCCACTTCGATCTCACCCCCCTACCTCCGACTGATAATGATAAAGAACATGTGAGAACGACGTATGGCTGTTTTTGTTTATTTTTGAATATCTGCTTTGGTATTTTTCCGCCCGAAACCCGCCCGTAGGTGGACATGGCCGACCTAAGATTAGCGATCCATGGATTTAGCGCGCGGTCGCCAAACCCATGGATCGGGGAAGGTGCCCTCCCCAAAATACGGCCGGTGCCGCCTCGTTCGGCGGCGCAAACGGGACCCGCCGCTAATCCGCGCCCCCTTGATCCAGGTTTGCGATCGCCATATTTTTTGTCATCCCCAGAAATCCAGACGAGCGAACCTGAGCAATCTCGATCACCCCTGAAAAGAGACCATCGCCCCAGACCCTCTCTGCTTGCCGCGGGAATTGGAAACGGCCAGCAAGGGCCATCACCGAGGGGGAAAGCGCGGGGGTTGGAAAAATCAACGAGCGGGAATCTGGAACCCCGGTGCCAGACCCTTCCCAATGTCTGCCCTGGCCAATTCTCGAGCTGCGTCCAGCCCTGGGTGGTCACGAGGCCCCTCCAGGAGGCAACAAGCAAAAACGTAACATATTCATCCTCGCGCCTCGATCCTCTCTCGAACCCGCCTGGCCCCCGAACGTCGAAATCGAGGAACAAGTCCTGGCTTGCAAGATCAAGCCGCCAGCCGTCGAAGAACATGGATCGTGGAACTTCGGGCAAACCGCCAAGAGACCAACGCGGGACCGCAGGGCAACGAAAACCAATCAGCGCCGGGGTCGCCCAGCCGCCAGCTGCCGGTAGAGAGACCCAGGATTCGATGTCCAGGTCGGGCCGATCGTCTCGACGTCCTCCTCCACTGTGCGCCACGCACGGGCATCATCGGGCATGGCCCCCTACAGGCGGATTTTGGACGACAAATCGGAGGTTGGGGGGTGAGATTGACGTGGAACGGAGAGCCCCCCTACCGGGAACTCGGTTTCGGTTCCGCGTTCGTGCGTGCCGTGCGTGCGGGCGAGGCGAAGCCGCCTCCTGGACAAGGCTGAGGGCCGAGGGGGAGGAGGGGGAGGGCGGAGGGAGGAGGGAGGAGGAAGGAGGAAGGAGGAGGGAGTAGGAGGGAGGAGGGAGGAGGAGGAGGAGGAGGAGGAGGAGGGGGAGGAGGAGGAGGAGGAGGCGTGGTCGAGTGCCTCCGTTTCCCTCGGCTCCCAGCCGGGCCCCTTCGCGACCCTCCCGCCCCCGGAGGTCCCGGCGTCGCACTCTCCTCGCGGCGGGCGCCCTGCTCTGCCTTGGGGCCCTGGGACCTCCACGGCTCGATCCGGCTCGAAAGTTCAGGAGACAAAGGTTCGAACACATCTAGAACTACGCTCAGCAAAACTGCACCTAGTTGCGGGGACCAGGGGGGGCAATCAAAATTAGATTGGGCGCGTCGGTCGGTCTGGGTGGGCGGGTACCGCCTGGCGACCTACGATGGGGTCCACTGAACACCATCTTTCTGACCATCTTAGATGGTCAGAAAGATGGGATTCCGGGTTGGGTCGGGCCTGTCCCCCCATAGGACGATTTTGGACGAACAATGAAACATACATAGGAAGACAGTGATCCCCGCACTATGTTTTGACTGCTTGTGAGTTTTGCTCCTGCAGAGGGACATGCCCGACTGAAGTTTAGGGCTCCGGCCGACTTGCTTACGATGTTGAAGCTTGTTCGCGACGTCGAAACCTCAGCTCCGCGGCCCCGACCACGCCGAGCGAAGCGCGGTCGTCTCCGCTGGCCTGTTGCTGGCTCCTGCGGCCTGGCGCTAAACGACGCCGGCCGACGCCAATCGATGCTGATCAGCGCTGGATCGGCACCCTCTCACCGATTACCAGACGCCAGCGCACGCCAACGACCCCCCCCCCCCAAAACAGTAATTCCCCCAAGCCGGCCACGAGGCACCGAAAATAAGGTCCCAAGATGGCCCAAGAGGACCCCAAGATGGCCCAGGAGGCGCTGCGGGCCGCGCGACCAGCGGCCATCTCCGAGCCCTCTCGGGGCAACCTTGGGACCTTCGATCCGCCTCCTCTTCCTCCTCCTCCTCCTTCTCCCCTTCCTCCCCATCCTCCCCTTCCTCCTCCTCCTCGTCGTCCTCCTTCTCCCCTTCCCCTTCCCGATCCTCCTCCTCCTCCTCTTCCTCCTCCTCCTTCTCCTCCTCCTCCATTCCTTCTCGTTGCAGATAACTCCTCCGTGTCGCACCCCGGGACTGGTCGACAGGGCGGGCCGGGCGTTCTGCCTGAGACCCCCCCACTATTTAAGATTCTGGTGCCGAGAAACTGTCAAGAATTTCATAGATGGAAGACGGGTTGCTTTCAAACTGTGGATCTCGCCTGAGCGCCGCGCACATTGTTCATAACAGTATGCAATCTGCAATAATTGCACGGATTGATGGCGGGTCGTTTTCAAAATGTGGCTCTCGCCTTAGCGCCGCGCAGATTCGATTTAACACATGGAAAGAGTTTCACGGACTGACGGCGGGTGGTTTTTAACATGTGGCTCTCTCTCTCTCTCTCTTTCTCTCTCTTTCTCTCTCTCTCTCTCTCTCTCTCTAGCGCCGTGCACATTCGTTTTTTTTTAGTATATATAGAAAAAACTTCCCAGAGTTTCACCGATTCAAGGCGGTCGGTTTTCAACATGGGGCTCTCGCCTGAGCGCCGTGCACATTCGTTTTTTTAAAGTGCAAGAGTTTTGCGGATCCAGGGCGGATCGTTGTCACCATGCGGCTCTCGCCATAGCGCCGCGCAGATTCTTCAAAAACACTTGCAAGAGTTTCTCGCAGTGATGGCGGGTCGTTTTCAACATGTGGCTCTCGCCTTAATGCCGCGCACATTCTTCCTGACAAATTGCAGGAGCTTCATGGATTCAGGGCAGTTCCTTTTTAATCTGCGTCTCTCACCTGGGAGCCGCGCCATTCGTTTTTAGGAATTTGCAAGAGTTGCGCTGGCTCTCATGGTCATGTACCAGATATGGTGTTTTGGGACCATTCAGGATTGTCAAGGCGCAACATTTACGTTGATTCATGGTGTTGGAATCCCAGAAATGGTTGACTTGCGCGCTTCAGGATCGCCAAGACGTGGCAGTCAGGCTAACTCGCGGTATTGAAGTCCTGAGAATGGTGTTCTGGCCCGCTTCAAGATGTTCACACGGTTGTCCCCCAACGGGACACATCCCTAAATGGAATGAGGCCTCGTGGGGGCCTACGAAGAGGGATCTTGGAGGGAGGGTGTCTTTCAACATCGTTGATGAGTCTTGGGTTTGCACCGGTTCTCCTCCTCCTGTGAATTTGATTACTCCTCCACCTCCCCCTCCTCCTCCTCCTCCTCCTCCTCCTCTTCCTCCTCCTCCTCTTCATCCTCCTCCTCCTCCTCTTTCCCTCCTCCTCCTCCTCCTTCTCTTCGTGCTCCTGCTGCTGCTCCTCCTCCTCCTCCTCCTCCTCCTCCTCCTCCCCCTCCTCCTCTTCCCTCGGCCCTCGGGCGCGCCTCGGGCGCGCACTCGCCCAGCAGGTGCGCCAAGCACGGGTCCTGCCGCGCTTCCTTCGCGCGCTGCCCTCCAGAGGAACCCATCGGCGCCGCCGGGGCCATGCCCGTGCGCGCCCGGGGTGAAGGGCAACGATGGGGGGGACCAGCTCGGTGGGGGGTAGCATCGCGCTGGAATCGGCGATGCGCCCTCGACAAAAGGCCTCCGATGGCGAATCCCCGCGTTCGTGGGCGGGGTGGGGCTATCAGGCCCCCGTCAACGATCAGTGGGCGACTGGGGGAGGAGGCGTTCTCCCCCGCATCGTTGCCCCATTCGGGGGCGGAAGGCGGCCGCGCTGGCACGCCGGCGGTGCCACGGGCCTGAGAGGCCGGCCGGGAGACGAGGATCGGTGGTCCCAAGACCGCGTGGGGGACGGACCGCGCGGTGCCCTCGGAACAGGAAGAGACCTCACCGCACGGCCCGTCACGGCGCGCCCTTGGGCCCTCGGAGGCCCAGGTCGCCCGAGACATCCTTGGAGAACGAGCCGTCGGCGAAGCCGTGAGATCCTGGCGTCTCGATTTTTCCGAACCTGGCGTTTTCGCCGAACTTCTAGCCCCAAGACCCACACATATCGATCTGGCTCGAAACCGATGACGTGCAGGGACGAGGGAGGAGGAATGAAGACGAGAGGGATTCAGGGATGACGAAGACGAGGACAGAACATAGTTAGCAAACTTTACCCATATCATTGCAATATGCAATATGCAAGACGTAATGTGCACCAGAGCTGAAGCCCTTGTCGCGCACCTTTTGGTCCAGGACTGACTATGCCCACTTCCTAGGGCACCCTGAATCCTCTTCGTCCCCAGTGTTTCGGCGCGAGGTCGGCTATCCTCACCAGAACCTGCCACAACCAACCACATGGGGCAGGCTGACGTTGTCACGAACGACACCCGTTCCCGACTATGTGCAACGTCTGCTTTCACCGCAGGCCGGGCCATCGACCTCACAAGAACTGCCTTCGGAAAAAGGGAGTAAACAATTCGCCCCTCTTTCGTGACATCGCGGCGTCCCCCGGCTGTCAGAGCGGGTAGTAACCACGGCCCAGGGGTGTGAGCCACCTGGCCCATGTGGTTGGGTGCTCGTGGGGCCCTTCGTAATACGGACGGAATGTACCTGCGACGCCACTTTCTGTCGCGACCATTGCTACTTTTCTCTCAGTCAGGACGCACCTGTGACGCCCCCTTTTTTTTGACACGACCGATTTAGCTGGATAAGCTTGCTGCGGCTGTGGCTGGGGCTGCTGCGGCTTGGCCCCAACGGCGCTGGTGCTGGCCTAAAAAACGGCCACAACAATGACACACGTATTCAACGATTGCTCGAACAATGCGCCGGAGTTTAGCTTTGGCGTGCTGAGCACCCGCGCCATGAAGAAGTCGAACTCGGAAACGATTGTCGGCAAACAACCAATAGTCTGCCAAACGTAACATGTCCACATCTTTGCTAAGTACAAGACATAGTGTGCACCCGCGTTGAAGCCCTTGTCCCGCACCATTTGGTCTAGGACTGACTGTACCCACTTTCTCTGGCACTCCACGTCCTCTTCGTCTCCAGCGCTGCGGCGTGCTATCGTCATCAAGACCAGCCACAACCAACCACATGGGGCAAGCTGACATTGTCACGAACGACGTCCGTTTCCGACTGTGGGCAGCGTCTGCTTTCACCGCAGGCTGAGCCATCGACGTAATAGGAACTGCCTTCGGAGAAGGGAGGAAACAAATAGGAGGGATGACGAGGAGGTGATGGCGGTGAGGAAAGCCGAGGGCGTGAGGGGGGAGGACGATGAAAACGGAAGAATGACGATGAAGAGGGAAGAGGGATGATGAGGCGCGGGCATGAGCAGAGGGCGCCCAGATGTCTTCGGAATTTCAGGCCTCCCGAGGCCCTTCCTGGCCCCAGGGCTCGTTTCCCTCAGGACTCCCCCCTCCCCCGAGGCAGGCCCCCGAGGCTCCCATGCCGAGCAGTGCCCCCCCCCCCTGGCCAAAGACCTCATTGCTGACCCGAACTGCCCAGGCGACTCTCCCGCGACGCCGGGCTTCTGCTCGCCCCCGCATAGTGAGCAGTGAACAGTGAACAGTGACAATAAATCCGCCATGCAAACACGGCCAAGACTGAAAGAAACAAACAAGGGGAGGGAAGAGAGGGGAAGGAGAAGGGCAGAGGTACAGCACAGAGCAACGACATCTGCTCCCTACAGTCGGGGCGTTGACCTAAAAGAACCCAAAATAAGGAACGGGGTCCCTCTTTTTCCATGCGTCAAACTCCGATTTCCCATCGAGAACCAAGGAGGACAACCTGAGGCCAGCTGCAAAACAACTGAGGAACGGCGAGCCCCTCCCAAGCGAACAGGGGTTCCTTCTTCAGCGCCCCGACTGAACCTCCTTCTCCTCCTCCTCCTTCCTCTTCCTCCTCCTTCTCTCCTCCTCCTCCTCCTCCTTCTCCTCCTCCTCCTCCTCCTCCTCCTCCTCCTCCTCCTCCTGCTCTTCCCCCCTTACCCCGACCTCGCGCCTCCCTCGTCGCGAGCCGGGGCCATCCGCCGCGAGGAGGGGCGGAGCACGAGCACGAGGCAAAGAGGGACGGGGGCGGCGGGCGCAGGGGCCTGCCGGTCCCGGGAATCGGCGCATCGCGCCCCCCGCGAGACGCAGGCGCCTCCTCGCGCCTTCGCGCCCGGAGAAGGCCAGCTCGGCGGCCCCCGCCGCGATGCGCCGATGTCTTCGCGCGACTGAGGCGACCTGGCCGGCTGTGGCATGAAGGAAGCAGGTCCTGCGGGAGACGGGCCCCGGACCCCGAAGCCTTCCCCGGGGACCAGCTCGCCATCCGGAATCTTTCTCTGATGGTCCCATGGCCTCAGGCTCGGGCTCGGGCTTGGGCTCGGGCTCGAACTCGGGTTCGGGCTTGGGCTCGGGCTCGGGCTCGGGCTCGATCTCGGGCTCGGGCTCGGGCTCGGGCTCGGGCTCGGGCTCGGGCTCGGGCTCGGGCTCGGGCCCGGGCTCGGGCTCGGGCTCGGGCTTGGGGAGGGCCCGGGAGCCCGAAGTCGGCCAGACACCTCCGACGGCTGTCTAAACCTAGGCGTTCGGGGGTCCGCGCGGAGTTCTTGGACCTGCCCTGCAACCCCCTCCATGGCGCGCGGAGCGCGCCAAGGGCGGCGACGGAGGCGCTGCCAGGCGTGCCCAGCGCCGATCCCCCCAAAACCGCGCGGAGCTCTGAAGTCTACGCTTTCCCCTAGGGGCCCCTCGCCTTCGTCGGGGGCGGCCAAGAGGGGGGCGTCCAAGAGGGTGGGGCGCAAATCATGGCCGGCGGCACGTGCGCGGCCGGGGGGGGGGGCAAGGGACGCAATGAAATTCGCCGGCCCAACGGGCCAAAGGCGTGCTAAGATCTCCGGTAACTGGTTATCAGTATTTCTAGTTCGCGCGCGCGGGGCGGCCCCTGGGGGTCCCCCGGCGAAAAGTATCCCGACCGCAGCCCGACCAGGTCTACTCAGAGATGGTTTCGAGGGCCTCTTTTCGACACCCCTCACGAGGATCGTGGCCTCCGAGGGGGGTGCACTCGACTACCCCGCCCCAAGAGGCCCCCAAGAGCCCCCCAAGAGGCCCCAGGGGGCTCCAAGACGCCGCCAAGGAGCCCCAAGAGACCCCCAAGAGGCCCCCAAGACGCCCTTAGGAGGCCCCAAAGAGGCCCCCAAGAGGCTTCAAAGAGGCCCCATGGAGCGCTCGATGGCCGGCGGAATGAGCGAAGCGATTAAATCCGCCCGCCCACTGGGCAGATGGGCGTGTGAGATTTAACTACGAGGGCTCCTTCCAGAGCTTCGCCCACCCCCCTTCCCCCCCCCGACGCCTCCGCCATTCCGCCGCCCGGCTGCGCTCAATCCCCTTTTCCGGCCCCAAGACGGCTTCCAAATGGCGTCCAAGACGAGTTCGATTTTCACACCGCCTCCAACACACTTTTCGGGCACATTTGGGCTCTATTTTGGCTCCTTCGGTTCCCCTTTTGGGCTCCAAAATCAACTCCTGGGGCCCTCAAGAACGCCTCTTGGGCTCAACCACGCGCACAGACTGGAAACCTGCAAAATATAGCAAAACATACAAATTTTTGATGATTTTCGCCTCGCCGGGGATCGCCCGGACGCCTCTTCCGCCTCACTTCCGGGCTCGCCTGGGGCATCTTTCAGCGTATACACTTCGACACCGTCTTTGGACACGCTCAGGACACAATTTTGGACGATCCCGGGCTCAACTTAGGCCCCCAAGCGGAGCCCAGAACGGCCCAGAACCGGCCAAGTTTTTACCGGAAAACGGACGGGGCTGCGGCCCCATGCGGGGATGCTCACGCTTGGGCTGTCCAAAGCCCGCCTGGGCCGCCTCGGGTTCGTCTCGGGCCCCTTTTGGGCCCTTCTCCGGGCCCTCTTCGGCCCTCCTTGGCGCCATTGGGGCCGTTTCCGAGGCATCTTTGGCTGGTCTTCGCCGCCGTTCTGGCTATCTCTGGCCTCCTACAGTGGATTAGGCATCCTGGGGACGACCATCCGGGCCACCCATCGATGGGCCGCGCGGCATACCGGAGCCCAATAAGCGATGGGATGAAAAAGGAATGACAACCACGAAAAGACAACAAACCGCACCTACGGGGTCTTGTGCTATTTTCCGTCTATGTTTATTCAGGCTTGCAGCTGCCTCGCCTCATCCGGCGAGAGCAAGAATGGGCGGGTGGTGAACGCGAAGCGTCTTGAATGAGAAGAGGAGCCATGAAATCGGAGGAAAGATCATGACCCACGCCATGATTTGGGGGCGCGCAAACATGGATTAGCGATCCATGGATTTGGCGCGCGATCGCCAAATCCATGGATCGGGGGAGGTGCCCTCCCCAAAATGCGGCCCGTGGCGCCTCGCTTGGCGGCGGAAGTCCGCGATTTCCTACAGAAACGGGACCCGTCGCTAATCGACGCGCCCCTTAAATCCATGTTTGCGACAGCCTGCATGACATCCCCCCCCCAGTCACCACCCCCCTCTTGGCCGCCCCCGACCCTCGCCTCGGGACCCCTCGCCTCCACGGCGATCCTCGCTGCCCCGCGCGGCCCCGCACGCGGCACCGCCGACGGGCGCGCGGCGGCAGCCAGAGCCATTTGGACGCCCGAAGTGGGTACGAAAAAATGGGTACAATGCCCAACAACAAATGCTGCTCCAAACCAACAGCGGCCGCTGTTGGCCAGGCGGGCTTCTGCCTCGAATTGACACAGGCCGCGGCGGTGTGGACAGCGAGTCCGGTTCAGAATGAACTAAAACTGCTGTTGGGCACTGTACCCATTCTTTCCCTGACCCGGGTCAATCCAGACCCGGGTCAGCAAGAAACCAAAAAACTGCAATGCAGGAAAAAACAACTGCAACGCAGGTCTTCGCAAACCCGGGTCAACCAATAGGCGCGGCCGCCTCGCGGCCATGAGCGGCTCGCTAACCCGGATCAGCC